TGGCTTAAGAATATTCCATTGTATATACATACATACCACATCTCTTTCTATTCATCTGTTGACAGACATTTAGGTTGTTTTCATATTTTGGCTATTGTGAATCATGCCTCAATGAACATGGGAGTTTAGATTGTACAGTAGTTCTATTTTTAATTTTTTGAGGAAACTCCATACTGCTTTCCATAGTGGCTCCATCAACTTACATTCTCACTAGGAGTTCATAGGCGTTCCCTTTTCTCTACATCCTTGCCAATACCTGTTATTTCTTATCTTTTGAGATTAGCCACTCAGACAGGTGATACCTCATTGTGGTCTGACTTGCATTTCCCTGATGATTAGTGACGTTGAGCACCTCTTCATGTACCTGTTGGACAATCTGTATATCTTCTTTGGAAAAATGTCTATTAAGATCCTCTGCCCATTTTTAAACTGTACTGTTTTTTTTTTCCTATTGAGTTGTATGAGCTCCTTATATATTGTGGATATTGACCTCTTATCAGATATAAGACTTGCAAATATTTCCTCCCATTCCATTGGTTGGCTTTTCATTTTGTTGATGGTTTCCTTCACTGTGTAGAAGATTTTTAGTTTGATGTAGTTCCACCTGCTGATTTTTGCTTTTATTGTTTGTGCTTTTGGTGTCATATCCAAAAAATCATTGCCCAGACCAATGTCAAGGAGTTTTTCCTATGTCTTAAGAGTTTTATGGTTTCTGGTCTTACATTTAAGTCTTTAATCCATTTCAAGTTCAGTTTTGCGAGTGGTGTAAGACAGAGGAAGTCCAATTTCATTTTTCTGCATGTGGTTATCCAATTTTGCCAATACCATTTATTGAAGAGATTATCCTTGAGTAGTCTTGACTCTCTTGGCAAATATTAATTGACCATATGCAGGCATTTATTTGTGGGCCCTCTATTCTCTTCCATTGGTTTATGTCTATTTTTATACTAGTACCATACTGTTTTGATGACTATAGCTTTGTAACAGAGTTTGAAAACAAGAAGTGTGATGCCTCCAACCATGTTCTTCTTTTTCATGATTGCTTTGACTATTCAGGGTCTTTTGTACTTCCACAAAAATTTTAGGATTGTTTTTTCTATTTCTGTGGAAAATGCCATTGAATTTTGATAAATATTGCATTGAATCTATAGATGGCTTAGTGCAGTATGGATATTTTAATAATATTAATTATTTCAATCCATGAATATGGGATATCTTTCCAATTGTTTGTGTCTTCTTTAGTTTCTTTCCTCAAAGTCTTTCTTTCCTCAAAGTCTTATAGTTTTCAGTGTATAGGTCTTTCACTTCCTTGGTTAAATTTATTCCTAAGTACTTTATTGTTTTTGATGCTATTGTAAATGGAATAGTTTTTCTTTATTTCTTTTCAGATAGTTTGTTGTTAGTGTATAGAAACACAATTGATTTCTGTATGTTGATTTTGTATCCTTCAACTTGACTGAATTCATTGATTTTTTTCTAAATGTTTTTGGTTAAGTCTTTAGGATTTTCTACATGAAAGATCATATTATCTGCAAAGACAATTTTACTTCTTCCCTTCTGGTTTGAATACCTTTATTTCTTTGTCTTGTCTGATTGCTCTATCTAAGATTTCCAGTACTTTGTTGAATGAGAATAGTCAGAGTGGGCACCCTTGTCTTGTTCCTGATCTTAGAGGGAGAGCTTTCATTCTTTCACCGTTGAATGCGATATTAACTCTGAGTTTGTCAAATGTGGCCATTATTATGTTGAAGTATGTTCCTTCTAGATCCAGTTTGTTGAGAGTTAATATTATGAAAGGATATTGCATTTTGTCAAATGCTTTTTCTGCATCTATTGAGATGATCATATGATATTTGTTTTTCATTCTATTAATGTGGTGTATCATATTTATTGATTGCAATGTTAAACCATCTTTGCATCCCAGGGATAGGCTAAAGGCTCGTCAATATTATCTTTACAAATAATCAGTTCTTAGTTTTATCAATCTTTTCTATTGGTCTTCTGGTTTCTATTTCATTTATTTCTGCTTTTCTCTTTATTATTTCCTTCCTTCTGCAAACTTTGGACTTTATTTGTTCTTCTTTTTCTAGTTCCTTTGAGATGTAAAGTTAGTTACTTGAGCTCTCTTTTTTTCTTAACTTATTGCTATAAATATCCCTTTTAGAACTGCTGTTGCCGCATCAGATAGGTTTTCATATACTGTATTTCCATTTTCATTTCTTTCAAAATATTTTAATTTCTTTTTTGATTTCTTCTTTGATCCACTGGTTGCTCAAGAGTGTGTTGTTTAATTTCCACTATTTGTAAAATTTTCAGCTTTCCTCCTGTTATTGATTGCAAGTTTCATGTTGTTATAATGGGAAAAATACTTGGTATGATTTCAATCTTCTTAAATTTGCTAAGACTTATTTTGTGTCCTATCATATAATATTCCTAGAGAATGTTCCAGGCATGATTGAGAAGAAGTGTATTCTGCTGCCATAGGATGGAATGTCTGTATATGTCTACTAAATCCATTTGGTCTAAATATCGGTTCAAGTCCAATATTTCCCTGTTGATTTTCTGTCTGGATGATCTACCCACTGTTGAAAGTGGGGCACTGAAGTCCCTAACTATTAATTTATTGCTGTCTATCTCCCTTCAGATCTGTTAGTATTTGCTTAATATATTAAGGTGCTCTGATGTTGAGTGTACATATATTACAACTGTTATATCTTCTTGATGAATTGACCCCATTTTTATTATATAATGACCTTCTTTGTCTCTTTTTAGCAATTTTGGCTTAAAATCTAATTTTTCTGATATAAGTATAATTATCCCTGCTCTCTTTTGGTTTCCATTTAGATGGAATAACTTTTTCCATCCCTTCACTTTCAGTCTATGTGTGTCTTTAAAGCTGAAGTGAGTGTCTTATAATGTCTTATAATGCAAATAAGTTGGGTCTTTTTTTCATCCATCCAGCCATTCTATGTCTTTTGATTGGAGAAGTCAATATATTTACATTTAGACTAGTTATTGACAGGTAAGGATTTACTAATGCCATCTTATTGTTTTCTGGTTGTTTTGTCTCTTGTTCCTTTCTTCCTCTCATGTAGCCTTCCTTTGTGAATTGGTGATTTTCTGTAGTGGTATGCTCTGATTTCCTTCTCTTTATCTATTGTGAATCTACTGTAGGTTTTTGCTTTCTGGTTCCTATGAGGCGTATATACAACATCTTGCAAGTTTTACTCTCCCCCTTTTATGTTTTTAATGTCATAATTTTCCTCTTTTTATATTGTGTATTCATTAATAAATTGTACTAGTTATAGTTATTTTAATACTCTTGTTCTTTAACCTTTATACTAAGAGTTAGATGGTTAACACACCACCATAATACAATATTAGAGTATTATGAATTTGACTATATATTTACATTTACCAGGGTTGTATATTTTCATATGTTTTCCTGTTACTAATTAGCAGCCTTTCATTTCAATTTGAAGAACTCCTTTCAGCATTTCTTGTAAGGCATGTCTAATGAACATGAATTCCCTCAGCTTTTATTTGTCTGGGAAAATATTTCTCCTTCATTTCTGAAGGCTAACTTTGCTGATAATGCCCTTTCTTAAGTCTGAGAAATGTCTTTTATTGCTCAGGGTATAGCTATACTTAAGAACTGTATCTATATTATAAATGAAATCTAAAATAGTGAAAAATATAAAATTTATGTATACAATTTTATCTGCATTAAAAGAGTAGATTCTATGATGTAATAGAATATTTTCCTCATGACTCTATGCTTTAAAACCTAAATAAGAAATTAAAATCGGTCTACTTAATGCATTAATGTCTGAAACTTAAACTTTGGCAGTATTATTTAGTTTTCAGATCCAGAACATTTCCCAAAAGTATTCTAAAGCACAGACAGAAAGAGACAATGATTCTGCTGTCTGTTATCTATTTTGTGTTAAATATAAGTATTCATAGCACTGCTCACATCCAATATTTTTTTACTGCCAATACAGTTCTTCATCCTTCTACACTTCAGATAGCTTCCTACTACTCTGATAGGTCTTACTTTAAAGAAAAAACCTCACAAAGCCTCATCTGCATAATTACAACATATGATCTAAAAATTAGTCCATTGGGCAGGACTGTACAAACACTTTCTAACAAAGGAAGAAGAGGAAGAGAGATGTGATAGCATCATACTTGATGTAACTTTTATATTTGCTCTTGTAATATAATTTCAGCATAGGTGCTCTACTACGTTCCACAGAATAGTCCTCTAACACAGTAGGAGTACTTTTGTGATGTCGACCTAACCCAGGGTGATGACAGATGGAAAAATTACTGGGTCAGATGAATTTAATTTTATTTAAATTTAATTTTCTCTCACCCACAATGAATATTCCAAATTTTCAAGTACAACTTTCTGTTTAGACATCTGTAAATTGTTATGAAGGAAGATAGTTTAAAACTTCAGAAGAAAAATGTTCCTTTTAAATATTTCTGTGTTACTTTTACACTCATTATTAGAGTAAAATATTTTTAATTAAGGTAGTTTCAAATCATTAATTAACTATATAACAGAATTGTGATAAAGATTATTTCACAGAGGCTCTTAAAACATAATTGAACAATTTTAGAACATATGAACATATGCAGCTTGATGGAAAGACTAGTATACTATCCAAGAACTATTAATTTTTTTGTGAGAAGAGATAATCTGACATCTAAGGCAATATACTTACTCTTTGGACTAGCCTGCTGCTCCTTTAGACTAACATCTATAGTCTTTGAGTGTTCATTACAATGATGTGAAAATGAAAAGAATTGTTATTATCCTGGAAACTATTATAATCAAAGCAGTAATAAAACTTTTAGGATAATTTTTATTTCCTTAATTGCATCTCTCAATAAAAACATGCTTAAAGATTACCTACAGAAGAGCTTAAGGAATCAAGATAATTCAAAAGCAAAAGGAAATTTTTCATTGTGATAAAAGAAACTTTACCTACCTTTGTGGAATATAGAACATATGTTGTGGAGGTGGTTTATATAGGATTCCTTCATACACAGGCCAGAGCCCACTTAAAATTCTGAAGAGAGAACTTTTCCCACAACCATTGGGACCAGTTATCAAAAGATGCATTCCTTCTTCTACCTAACGTAAGAAATAAAATTAGAAATTACAATATGTAAAAATGGTTTCATTTGGCAGCATTTAAAAGGGATTTGTTTTTAAACTTTCAAACACATGATAACCTAGGATGGGCAAGGAATCAAAGAAAAATATATCGGGACTGACACCATCAAATCTGGCTTTTGACTATGCTCTGACGCTAAAAGCATCATAAAATAATCCAATTCCAAAGAAATGGATCTTCTTCAAAGGAGCACTGACTTCCCAAAATTTTCATTGAGGTCTTGCCATCACATACTACACAAATACATAGGAACATAACCACGTGGAAATAAGAAATTGGAAAAATTTAATTTAAAATAGATTGAATTTATTTTATTTATATTAATATTTGATTAAATTTACTTCAATTAAGATACAACTTTGTTGTATTTGTAAGTTGGAGTTCTACAAGTCAGCTGGGTTGTTTAATTCAGTAGTCTGAAATGTTACAGAAATTACAAAAGCCCATAATGAGAGACATATAATGATTCTAATTTTGGTTTATTCACAGATGGAGAAAATACGTTTATGAAATTAAGACAGAGACAAGCAAGAAGACTGTAATTTAGTCTTATGTCTAGGGATGAATTAAGCTATTTATTGATTGTTGATTGGATGATTCTCTTAGAATCTTTCAGCTTATTTATCATTTAAACAGTTAAATTTCATGACTTCTTATTTCATCCAATAGGATCAGGAAGTTGTCAATGTACTATCTTAAAGGTATTGTAAGGGTCAAGAAAAAGGAACATTATTTAAAACTCTGATTTACTTCTAAGAACAAATGATATTTTATAATCAGTGACTAAATAATGAATATAGTATGAAAGTACGAGAGGCAGAAATTTACAGTATGCCTGTATATGTAGCTTTGTACCGTATAGATACATGTATCTAAGGTCCATGGTGTAGAATACATTATGTTGAAAACTCAAAGGTGAAAGAGCATTATATTACTTGTATTATGTCAGTATAAGGAACCATATCCATGTATATCCATTACTCATTTGCCGTGTATAACATAAGCTAAAATCTTTTTGCTGAAAGAAGGTGGTAGGGAGAGGAAGGGGGTAAGGGAGGAAGGGAAGGAAAAAAAGGTTGATATGAAGGTTAGATAAAAGAACTAAGAATGTATGTAATAAATATATGTAAAGCAAAAATGGTTCAGATTTATATTCTAAGTAATTAGTCATTTCCTTGGCAAACATTGATTGAATATCTAAATGTGCTTGACATTCTTCTAGGCACAGAAGATACAGTGCTGCTCAAGACAAAGTCCCTGTTCTTATGGAGCTTACATTTCAATGGCAAAGATGGCAATAAACACATGAACAAAAAATTAACTAGTCGTAAATGCTGTTATGATAGCAAAAAAGGAAGATGTGTTAGGGAAAGATGGTGGCATTGTGAGGTTGGCAGGGGAAGGGGGCTTCTTTTGATTAGGTGGTCAGGAAAGTCCTCTTTGAGGAGATATCATTTTGCCTTAGCCTGGTGACAAGAAGCAACAAGTAAGATCTGGTGGAAGAGCATTCCAGGCAATAAAGATAGCTACCACAAGGACATAAGACAGGAGCAAGCTTGAGTCTATAAAATCTGACCACAGATATTTTTTCTCCCTAATTGTAGGCAAACTGAAATGCCATTTTAATAGAATAAAGTTAAAAAAAATCCTGGGAAGAACCCAGAAAGGGTTTTGTGATTTGCTCTGCTCTTTCAGTAGAGAGAGGATTAAGAAAGTTTAATTTTATAGAAGCATAAACACTTTTCAAATGATTTTTTAAAGGTATGTGCCATGGAAAAGGTATATAAATAAAATATTTAATAGGGTCATTCTCTACTAGGAATTCTCAGAAATTTAACACATTTTGAGTCATAATAGAAGACTTTTCTACATTCATATTATTTTTTAGCATAAGTTCTCTGATGTTTAGTAAACAGTGAGTGTGAGGCAAAAGAATTCCCACATTTACTGAAATTTTCTTCTCCAAATGGTTTTTTAATTCCAAAAGGCTAACATAAGAATGAGAATGTTTTCCTCTAGAAACCTGTTTATTTATCAATCCATGCAGAGGAAACAAAATTTTGTATTATACTTTGGGGACCTGAGACTTTAAATAAAACTCCCTGTCTGACTCAGAAATAAATAATTATCATAAAAGTACACTATATTAACATATACCTTTGTAGAACCTCAAAATTTATGACACTTTCACTAGATTAAGTATTTTAAAATTCATTTTACATAAAAATATACTGAGCTCTGAATTTTTTCACAGAAAGAGTGTTATGTGTCCACAATAATGTATTTAGTTAGTAGGTGGCAGAATTCAAGACTCTTCCTCTATTTAATAAATGGAGCAACAAGAATTGATATTATGAAACCTAACCTGATGAAAAACCTCTATACAAAATCATACATTAAAAATTGCTAAAGTATTAGCAAATAGTTAAATATCCCATGTAGGCCTCTTCCATTAATGGAAAAATAGAGCCCAACCAAATTGTAGTTAAAACACAATTTCTCTTACGTTTATTAACACAGAATTTCTCCCTGTTCAGTACTTCTCATCCTCTTCCAGCAGGCTTATGCATTTTCAAATGTATCTTTAATAATTAAACCTAGACTAAGGTCCATATTAAAATCATTAAATGCACATATAGGGTCATGTTTCTAACTCTGTTATCAAGTCCAATCATGTCATTGTTTGAACTAAGCACAGATAACTCCATTATACTTATCAGCAAATTATTTTGTACTTGAATTCCAAAATGTGTGTTTGAATTTTACAATACTTTAAATCAGGGTCTCAGATTTATTAGCTATTTTTGCACCTTAGTTTTTGTAATCAAAACAGAGTATTAAATAACAAATAACTATTATTCTCAACAGAATTAAAAGCTAAATTCCAATTCATGAATCTTCTGATCATTTTTTCCTAATAGAAGATGTGATTACTGAAAATATAAATTAAATTTAGAGAATATAAACTTGCTGATGACTTCTCTCATATTTTAGTAAATATACAACAATATAGGCTTGTATTTTTTGAGTAACTCCTATAAGGAAAAAAATAAAATGTATTTCCAGATATTAATTTCTGAAGAAATTTCCTATTGTTCCCAAAAGTTACTTTGTACAGGCTCTCAGTGTACTCTAATTTTGATTTTCAACCAGGCCATAAAGCGGTAGAAATCAAATTTTTCTTTCTCTCTGCTTTCTGAGGAAGTAACTGCTTCTGTAATTGAGCCTCTATGCATACCTTTCTCGATTTCCCCTCCTTTCCATATGCTCCTCCAAGTATTTAATATAAAGTACATGAATTCTGAGTTGTTTTGCATTATTGTGTTGGCAACAATCAGAAGATTCTTGAATATCATCTTACTTTGAACTTTAGCTTGGAAGCCACCACTTCTCCCGTTGGTGTAATTATGGGAACATTTTCACAAATAATTCCATGATCCACATCAATAACTTTTCCTATAAGTTAAGGAAGAGTTTAAGTTTCAAAAGCTATCATGTGTTATTGCTAATTAAATAACTTAAAGTATAATATAGCATAACAGATAAATTCACTATAAAGATAATTCACATTAATGAATCATAGAAATAAATGTAAATATAGATATCTATATCTAAAGAAAGTCTAATGTAAATTTGCACATTTTGACATATCTAATTGGGAAATCTTTCTCAGAAATATTATTTTACTGTAATATGATGTTAATATCATAATGAGAGCAAAGCTAAACTCTATCTTGTATAACCCAGCCACACTGTTTATAACGACTTATTTCTCTCAATTAAACTTTCCTATAGAAAAAAACACAGTTGCAAAAAGGAAATTAAGACATAGAAAACTATAATTTTTAAAACTATAATAACCAAACTAAATGGCAGAATGATGGAGAACAGTATGACATTAGCTCTAATTCTGTTATTTGAATTTTAAATGCAAACAATTCATTTTGCCATGTGTGCAGTTTCTAAAAATAATTCTAGACATTTTGTCCTAAATAAAAGTAGCATAATATTTTTTATGGTAACATTAGTCACTACTTCTCAAAATGCAGCACTAACTTTAGGAATAACTGTTTAAATAACTAAATGTTGGTTCCTTACATCTGTTCAAAGCTATCTTCTAAAAAACTTTGGTTCTGTTGATAAACATTTAAATATAGAAAAAATATAAAAACATTTGAGTTTAATACCTTTGATTTCCAATGTCTCACTGAGGGGTAATTCTACGTTAACGCCACTCTTGCTATGGTTTTCAGACTCTTGCAAGACAGCAGTTCTCTTATAAATGCCTCTTTTTACTTCATCAAAGACCCAAAACATGTTGTATACTCGAGCAGTATAGCCTGCTAATTCAGTTATCTAAAACCAACATAGGGAGATAAAACAGTATACTCAAGACAGACTTTTAAACAAATATGCAATCATATAAGCTTCTTGATTTAATGTTAAAGATCCTATTTTATTATACTTGAAAAGTAGATAGTACATCTGATAACTAAAACCAGTAACACTAAAATACTTACCAAGAAAGCAGCATAGCAAGTTGACAGCTTAAGTTTGATTGGAATTAAAAAACACATAAAAATTATTCATTCAAGTCAGGGTTCAAAGTGAAATGTAAAGACTTCAGAATATTAGTGAGACTTAAAAATCTTTCAATCAATTTTCTGATTTGGCCCCTGTTTGCAAGAAAATTTGATTTCCAGAAATTAGAAGTTTTGTGAAAAGCTTAAATCCATTCAGTGAAATAATGATTTTTTATTTTGATATCTTTTTTCAATTAAAAATAGAAGATTTTAAATAGAAGAAAAATGCATATTTTTCTTATTATGAAAAGACATTTCTGAGTCAAACTGATTGTCAAAATTCCTAAGTTTAGCCAGAGAAAATACCCCTGCTAGTGGATACCAATATTGGGCGTGAGCTCAGTGAAAAGCTTTAAATCCTTTTCAGTCCAAATCCCACAAAATTCAGCTTCTTTTCAAGCCAAACATGATTTATATGCCCAAAGAAAAATATTAAATATGACTTTTTTGCTAGATGAGATAAATCTCTGCTTTAGTTCAAAAGGCTCAATAGAGTGGTATATTGCTCCTATTCTGCCAGTCGTCCAATTTAGGTTGAATCTCTGCTGTTTTTCTATTAAAAGAACACCTTGTTATCAAGGTGACTCATCTGAAAGGTGACTCATGGCCTGTCAAGACCATCTTTCTCAGTGAAAAGGAAGCAACAAAAACCATTCCCTTACAGAACTGTTTAGTAGGAAATTGGTATCAATAAGCAAGACATGTCACTAATAAATGTCTCTTAAACAATAAACTATGGACTAATACATTACCAACATTGTGTAAGATTTTTGTGTGTGCAAAACTTAAACAGTGAATGAGCAGGTATTATTGTTAAAAGCCTTCTACCACATGTCTCTACTGTGTGAGAGGTCTATAATTAGATTAGTATTTCATTTCTATATATTAATGTTATAGCTATTATATAGGATAGTTTCTAAACTGTTATCTAGAAGAATCTCTTGAGTTCCCAAGTAGAGGAAATCAGAACTAAGGATTAACAAAATATGGATCCAAAAGAAACCTAAGTAAATATAGTTGCATTAAAAAAATCTGAAACAAATGTGGAGGTCAATTAAAGAAAGGCAGGGGGCATTGAGTTAGTAGACCAGGATGCAAGGATGAATGGGCAGAGTGTCAAAAAAAAAAAAGAAATGAGAATGTGACTGTGGACAAATTACTTTGGGATATAAGACAAGGGGGTTTGTCTAAAAAGAAGCCTTGTTCCCTCTAGAAGTAGTGGAGAATCCATGATGCTTTCATGTGCTTTCACAGGAGTAATAAGATTCTTTAGAAGTAAAAGTTCTATTATTCAATGCGCATACAGGCAAAATGAATTGAATGTGAGATATATAAAAACTTTGATTTCTCATTTAACTTTAATAATAAGTAATTTATTAGCTGAAAAAGCTATCCCCAAAACTGTGTCTCCAGATTATCAAAATTACTATTTGAAAAAAAGTTTTAATTGAGTTGTCTTGCTTTGTGGCCCTAAACAACTGGTTTTACCTTTTTTAAAAAAACCCAATTCAACAAATCAGTTGTTAAATGAGATTGAAAAGTTTTGTCAGCAAATCACAAACTTTGCAACTATCTTATATAATTTATTCAAGGATAATTTAATAGGTAGCTAAATTTATAATGATGCTCTGGCAATTTATATTGATACAAAAGCCACAAGAGTAATTAATAGTGAGAATGACTGTCCATGGGAATATTATTTAATATCTGAATTGAATAAAGTGATTTTTAATCTTAACTCTGTGCTATCTGTAGGTTTTATTACCATTCTCTCAGCAAATATTTACTGACCATATACAATATTCCGAGCATTAAAATAGATATTAGGAATGTAAAGATGAATAAGATAGTTCCTGCTTTCCACTCAGCGTTTTATGCAAAAGACAGATAATTATAATGTGGTAAATAAAGCACCAGATGTACTATGAACACAGAGGAGGAAGACCCAGACTCTGCAGGGAAGTCAGAAAGAAAGTAGAATCGCAAAAGGGTTTTTTATACGTGGTTGGTAAGGCTTGACTTGTCCTGAAGTATAAGTAAAAGTTTGCAAGGTATATAAGTAATATTACTGGCTAACACTTAGTAAAGTGCTTACTATCACAACAACTCTACAAAGTCATCACTATCATTATCCCCATTTTACAGATAAAGAAACAGACACAAACAGGTCAAGTTCATATAATTTGTAAATACTGCAGCAAGAATTTAGATTTAGGCACTCTGGCTCCAAAATCCATACCAAAGGACCTTTTAGTAAAATTTAAGAGCAAATATGTCATACTATAGACAGAAAAAGGAGTTGACAATTGAGAGTATAAAAACTGAAAGGTATTAGCAGCAATAGACTTGGGAGTTGTTGTCCTTTATCTTGATTATACTCTTAGCAATTTTTGGTAGAGAAAAGATGTTTCCAAAATAATAAGCATATGTGGTAATTTACATTTTTGCTTGATTTCCATATATATTATTTTAATCAAATTGATAACAAGAAATGCAAGTACCTCTTTGTATGAAGACATAATCCTTTCAATAGCATCAGCTCCAGAGGCCAATAAATTTCGAGCAGTGGTAAAGGCTTCTGTCCGCTCACTAACCATAGCTTGCTTTCGATCATCCTCTAGATCTAAAAGCAAATTACAAAACTGTGGAATTTTTTAAGTAACTAAATGTTTTGTTTTGTACTATGAGACTGTGACTAAAACAACTGCATGAAAATTTTTCATTAGTATCAGCAATTTCCTAGGAATTAATGAATTATTTAAAAAATAGTGTTTGTACCAGATTTTATTTAAATTTTCCTTTGTCTTATTATTGTTCTAGAAGGAGAGTTAGAATAATTAAATCTATAGGAATTAAGACTATTTTCATTTAGCATTCTTTCAACCCTTACCAAAGTCAATGTCCTGCCCTTATTAGAGCTAGGTAATAAAATACTACTGATTCAGTCAATAAAATACCATTAACTAGAATCTAGGCAAATATTTCAAGTGTGATTTCTTTAATAGAAATGCAAAGTAGCTGACCCTCATAATCTAGCTCTGTCTACCTGTTTCAACTTTCACCCTACAGTTTAGCAACACCCCAACCATGCAATATTCTGCTTACTCTCTGGTATTTTCATATATAATATTTTCTGACTTTAATATACTTTCTTTTTTGCCAAGCTCTTTCTTAAAGAGTTAACTCTTTAGTACAGGTTTCCCTGGAAACCCTTGTCTGGCTTTTCCAGTGGACTATAAGTTCTTTAAGGGGCAAGACTGTATTTTATTCATTATTCCTAGTACTCACCAGAGTGTCTAGAACACAATACTCCTTAATGTGTATTGAATGGATGGATGGATAGATAGATAAATATCCTAAATTACTGTCAATGCAGAATTATGGTTAAAAGCCAGAAGTCAGACTAGGTTAGAGTCCAGACTCTACTACTTATTGGCAAGTAGTAAGGTTAGTAGAGCAAGCCACTAATCTTCTCCATGCTACTTTCTCATGTGTAAATGAGGGAATTAATAGTACTATCTCAAACAATTCTATCTCAGAGGGTTGTTGTGAGATTTAAAGGGGAAATGTAAACAAAGTGCTAGCCTAATCCATAGTTTATAATAATTAATCTTAAATGTTAGGTGTTATTACTTTCTCTAAGTGTTATTGTTATTATTGTTATTATTATCTACTCCATTTAGTATTATTCTTAAAAATTATTCTCTCCAGGTCATTACTTTAATCTTGGCATCAGTTTGATTCTCTATCCAGTCTTTCTATGGACTATCACCAAAATTCTAAATTGAAATCTGTAAATTAATGAAGAAATTAGAATAATATAAATAGCCATGAGCCCACTATGCTATTTATTTTGCTTGGATTTATCTCAGTGAAAAGGGTTTTTTTTTTTCTCCATGACATGCAAATATTTAACATGTGCCCTGCTATAACTACTGGATACTTTCACCTTTACTTGCTCATAGACAGCTCAGCTGAGTTTGAAAGAGATCCATGCATAATATAAGGTAAAATTCACTCAGCAGATATTTGCTGAACAGCAGGATTTACAAGAAATTAGGCAAGGTGTTACAGGATATGCAAGGATTAAATGTAATTTTCAGATTCTTTCCTTAGGAAGCTTACAGTTTGATAGGAGAAAGAAGACAAGTTCCCAAATAACAATGCAGGGCAGCCTATGAGGAGAGTTAATATGACACATTTGAAGGATGCAAAAATAATTTCTCTGCAAGAGACAAGAAATGCTTCATGGAGGAGTAGACTGGGAGTGAGGCCTTGAAGACTGCATACAATTTTAAAAGATCACAAGTACAGCATAAGCAATGTCTCAAAGAAGGGAAATTTCAAGCAATGCCAATTGAATAATAACCTGGTCAAGTTACAGTATGGGTTGGTGTTAAGCACTGATTTTACTTGCGTATCAGAAAAAACATGAGTTCATGGGGACCTCCCAGCTCTAGAGTTAAGTACTGCTCTAGAAAACTATCTTTAGTTCCCTTGAAGTTAGTCTGTTTCCTTGAAGAATGAAAAAATAAAGGCTTTGAGTGTTAGTATAAGTGATGAGAGAAAGACCTGAATGGCTAAAATGGCTGGGAACAGAATGTAGATATTCTTAAACACATTTAAATGTGGGATAAAATTTAGATAGCCACAAAAAATTAACAAAGGATTCTTGCAAGCTACCAAAATAGTAACTGCTGTATCAGTTAAAGTGCTAAGAATAGTTTTGGCTCAGAGAATCTGGCTGATGATCTAAAATAATTATGGGATTTTATGAATTTGGGTTAAAAGTAGTTTGAATAATAGCTTTCACTGATAGCCTCTGTTAAGAAGAAATAAAACTGATCAGAAGAAAAGAACTACAATACTGCAGCTTGTGAAACAAAAAACACACTCACAGAAAGACAGACAAAATGAAAAGGCAGACAACTATGTACCAGATGAAGGAACAAGATAAAACGCCAGAAAAACAATTAAATGAAGTGGAGATAGGCAACGTACCAGAAAAAGAATTCAGAATAATGACAGTGAAGATGATCCAGGACCTCGTAAAAAGAATGGAGGCAAAGATTGAGAAGATACAAGAAATGTTTAACAAAGACCTAGAAGATTTAAAGAACAAACACCTAGAAGAACTAAAGAACAAACAAACAGAGATGAATAGTACAATAACTGAAATGAAAAATACACTAGAAGGAATCAATAGCAGAATAACTGAGGCAGAAGAACAGATAAGTGACCTGGAAGACAGAATGGTGGAATTCACCGCCATGGAACAGAATAAAGAAAAAAGAATGAAAAGAAATGAAGACAGCCTAAGAGACCTTTGGGATAGCATTAAACGCAGCAACATTCGCATTACAGGGGTCCGAGAAGGAGAAGAGAGAGAGAAAGGACCCGAGAAAATATTTGAAGAGATTATAGTTGAAAACTTCCCTAACATGGGAAAGGAAATAGCCACCTGAGTCCAGGAAGCACAGAGAGTCTCAGTCAGGATAAACCCAAGGAGAAATATGCTGAACACAAAATCACCAAATTGAAAAAAATTAAAGACAACGAAAAATTATTAAAAGCAACAAGGGAAAAATGACAACTAACATACAAGGGAACTCCCATAAGGTTAACAGCTGATTTCTCAGCAGAAACTCTACAAGCCAGAGGGAGTAGCATGATATATTTAAAGTAATGAAAGGGAAGAACCTACGACCAAGACTACTATACCCGACAAGGATCTCATTCAGATTTAACGGAGAAAGCAAAAGCTTCACAGACAAGCAAAAGCTAAGAGAATTCAACACCACCAAACCAGCTCTACAACAAATGCTAAAGGAATTTCTCTAAGCAGAAAACACAAGAGAAGAAAAGGACCTACAAAAACAAAACCAATATAATTAAGAAAATGGTAATAGGAACATACATATCGATAATTACCTTAAATGAGAATGGATTAAAAGTTCCAACCAAAGGACACAAGATCACTGAATGGATACAAAAACAACACCCATATATATGCTGTCTACAAGAGACCCACTTCAGACCTAGGGACACATACAGATGGAAAGTGAGGGGATGGAAAAAGATATCCCATGCAAATAGTAATCAAAAGAAAGTTTGAGTACCTATGCTCATATCAGATAAAATAGATTTTAAATTAAAGAGTGTTACAAGAGAAAAGGAAGGACACTACATAATGATCAAGTGATCAATCCAAAAAGAAGATAAAACAATTATAAATATAAATGCACCCAAAATAGGAGCACCTCAATACATAAGGCAAATGCTAATGGCTATAAGAGAGGAAATCAACAGTAACACAATAATAGTGGGGGACTTTAACACCTTACTTACACCAATGGACATATCATCCATACAGAAAATTGATAAGGAAACAGAAGCTTTAAATGACACAATAGACCAGATAGCTTTAATTGATATTTATGACATTCCATCCGAAAACAGCAGATTACACTTTCTTCTCAAGTGCACACAGAACATTCTCAAGGATAGATCACACTTTGGGTCACAAATCAAGCCTTGGTAAATCTAAGAAATTTGAAATCATATCAAGCATCTTTTCTGACCACAATGCTATGAGATTAGAAATGAATTACAGGGAAAAAATCATAAAAAAAACACAAACACAAGGAGGCAAAACAATATGTTACTAAATGATCAAGAGATCACTAAAGAAATCAAAGAGGAAATCAAAAACTACCTAGAGACAAAATACAATGGAAATACAATGATCCAAAACCTATGGGATGCAGCAAAAGCAGTTCTAAGAGGGAAGTTTGTAGCTATATAAGCCTACCTCGGGAAACAAGAAAAATCTCAAATCAACAATCAGCTTTACACCTAAAGGAACTAGAGAAAGAACAAACAAAACCCAAAGTTAGGAGAAGGAAAGAAATCATAAAGATCAGATCAGAAATAAATGAAATAGAAACAAAGAAAACAATAGCAAAGATCAATAAAACTAAAAGCTGGTTCTTTGAGAAGATAAACACACTTGATAAATCTTTAGCCAGACTAATCAAGAAAAAGACTGAGAGGACTCAAATCAATAAAATTAGAAATGAAAAAGGAGAAATTACAATGGACACTGCAGAAATACAAAGCATCATAAGAGACTACTACAAGCAACCCTATGCCAATAAAATGGACAACATGGAAGAAATGGACAAATTCCTAGAAAGGTATAACCTTCCAAGACTGAACCAGGAAGGAATAGAAAATATGAACAGACCAATCACAAGTAATGAAACTGAAACTATGATTACAAATCTTCCAACAAACGAAAGTCCAGGACCAGATGGCTTCAAATGTGAATTCTATCAAACATTTAGAAAAGTGCTAACAGCCATCCTTCTCAAACTCTTCCAAAAATTACAGAGGAAGGAACACTCCCAAACTCATTCTATGAGGCTACCATCACCCTGATACCAAAACCAGACAGAGATACTTCAAAAAAAGAAAATTACAGACCAATATCACTGATGAATATAGATGCAAAAATCCTCAAAAAAATACTAGCAAACAGAATATAAAAACACATTAAAAGGATCATACACCATAATCAAGTGAGATTTATCCCAGGAATGCAAGGATTCTTAAATATACACA